GAAGCTTGGAGAGAGGCTCAGAGACAGTGGGGGAGTGTTAGCGTGGGGCGGCCGGGGCTACTGGGGGACCCGAGATGCTCTTCTGCTGGACTTTCCAGTTGAGCTGCTGTGATACAAACCCATTTAGCCTCCCATTCCAGCCCGTCACCCCCGAAATAGTTGGCACGTTCTGCTCAGAAATATTTTGTGTAGAAGGATTTTTGATACACTGGATGAAATCTGTGGTTTGCAATCACACAGGACGGGGACCACACACATGCCAGTGGGACCAGGGCAGGGGACAGTGGGGACAGAAGGAGCCACAAGCACAGAAGCCCCCTGAGGATGTGCAGAAATCTTGGGGAGCCCTTTTATTTCCCAAGGGCCCCAGATTTACCTGGATTTCCACCAGGCAGGGGAGCCCCATAAGTATCTGGGTTACATTCACATGGAAAGTAGTGGGATTGTCATTTGTGGGTGTTAATTTTTTCCCCTCTAATCAAGTTCTCTTGCTTAAGTCAAAAAAGCTTGAGTTACTAAAGGCAAAGAACAACAAACTTGTTCCCTGCTCTGTTCCCTGCCTTTCTTGGGGGAAGACTTAATGGACCTATATATTTTTTTTTCTTTTATTCACAGCTCCACATGATTAATCATATGAGGCACTGATCTTTTGTGCACCAGGCCATATTTCCAGACATCAGAGAACTTAAAGAATGCAGTGCAAGTGCTTAAAGTAGCATTTGGGTTTACCCATCAGTCCTCTGTGAGTTTGGTCTGCGTGGATTCGCTTCCTTATTTGCTCCCTGTCTGTTCCCACAGGCTGGTGGCTGCCAGCACGGGACACAGCTGAGATTTTCCACTGTAAACCTTTCCCTCTTCCTAGGGCTGGGTTTGGGCATGAGGTGACACACAGCTCTGACCACATAAGAAGGAACAGGAGGCCCAGCCTTCCACACAGGGCACTGCCAGGAAGCAAGACCCTCCGCTCATTCCACTCTCTCCTTGGCAGAACCCACCACAAGGAGCCCGCAGGAAGGGCCTGTGCCAGGACAAGTGAGCAGCGCCCCTCCAAGACATGCCCCTGGGACCCTGATGGGGGAAACTGAGTCAGAGCTTCCCACTCTACCTAATGCTGTCACAGTCATTATGTGGCGCCATCCAACAGTAACCCTTCGTCACCAAGTTCTGCTTTCCCCGTGTGGCAGTGGAAAGAGGGGGATTAGAGAGGTTCAGGGACTTGACCAGGATGCTCAGATAAGTGATGGAGTCAGGAGTGGAACCCAGATTTTGCAGTTAGAATATAGGCCTTGCAGGTTTCAGTGTTTTCTTCCTTTTTAGCATCAGAATCTTTGCTGTGTGGGTGTTCCCAGTGCTGGCTGCTGTCCAAGGCTCTGGACGTGTTCACACATGCACACACACACACACACGGCCGAGGACCCGGAGGATGCCCCTAACAGATAAGAAGCCACTTCTCAAAGTCTTGTTCCTTTTCCTGAGGCCCGGGAGTCTGGGATCCCTAGGAGGGGAAGGCACCAGGGAAGCCGACCCACCACCTGGCCAAGGATGGCAGCTTTGCTCCATTATAACTGCTGCATCCAAGGGACAACCCCACCACAGGTGCCCCAGCGTCAGGGGACTGTCCTCAAGCAGGGGACCCACCCACTGACCGGCCACCCCCTCACCCCCTGCCACTGATCTGCAAAGCTGCTCTTCTCAGAACAAATCCACAACTCGGCATGCGAGTTTGCCCATTGGTCTCCAGCTATTTTGACGCCCATCAGTCAGTCCCTCCAAGCCTTATTCAATGATAACTTAGAAAGCGCCTGAGCGTCCGTCCGAGCGTGCACTCTCTCAGCACTGAGCTGCTGACTGTTGCAGGCACGCGCCGCAGCTGTGGGCAGAGCCTGAAGGGCAGACGGCAGTCCTTGCTCGCCAGCAGCCTGCGGGCTGGGCAGGGCTGGGCAGGGCTGGCACAGGCCTCTCGCACCAGCCCAGCCGGGAGGGCTAGAGGGCTCTGGCCACTGGGGGTGCATGTCTGCCTGTGTGACCAAGGAGCTTCCTGAGGAGCCCACCCTCCCCTCTGTGCCCCCCACCCCAGTCTCCCAGTGGTGGTCCCCACCCTCCCCTCTGTGCCCCCCACCCCAGTCTCCCAGTGGTGGTCCGTCCCCACCTCAGTCTCTCAGTGACAGTCCATCCCCACCCCAGTCTCCCAGTGACGGTCCGTCCCCACCACAGTCTCCCAGTGACAGTCGTCCTCACCCCAGTCTCCCAGTGACAGTCGTCCTTACCCCAGTCTCCCAGTGACAATCCGTCCCCACCCCCGGTCTCCCAGTGACAGTCTGTTCCCAACCCGTCTCCCAGTGACAGTTCGTCCCCACCCCAGTCTCCCAGTGACAGTCGTCCTCACCCCAGTCTCTCAGTGACAGTCGTCCTCACCCCAGTCTCCCAGTGACGTCCTGAATGTCTCCCACCAGTCTCCAGTGCAGTCGTCCTCACCCCAGTCTCCCAGTGACAGTCGTCCTCACCCCAGTCTCCCAGTGACGGTCCGTCCCCACCCCAGTCTCCCAGTGACAGTCCGTCCCCACCCCAGTCTCCCAGTGACAGTCCGTCCCCACCCCAGTCTCCCAGTGACGTCCGTCCCCAACCCAGTCTCCCAGTGGCAGGTCTGTCCCCACCCCTG